TCAAAGAACTTTTTCGAAAATTATTAAAAATAATCGATTTAAAGAAGAATTTTAGTTAAAAATTCTTGAAAATAATAATTGAATTGAAGGGCTATAGCTGCAATAAGGGGGTGAACGCGTGGTTTAAAGGGATAATACCAGTCAGGTAGCAGTGGGCGGCTCAAGGCTTGTCTCTGCTACCCGACTGGTAGTATCCCTTCCAAGTCTCGCGTTCATCTCCTTATTGCAGCCAACCTTTTTCGACTCGGAGTGATCGTTTCTTCATATTATATAGTTATGAAAAATTTAATTTATAGTTTTAAGTAAAATGTTCTCTTATTTGACTCGGACTTTTTTTTGTCAGTAATTGGTCCGTAATTTTTCATTTTTGGTCTGTAAAGTCCGTATTTTTAAATACTTTCACTAGTTCGAGCCCTGTAATCTTCAATCCGTAACCGATCACAAAAATAAGTGGTAAATGAAAACAAAGTTGTTAAGCAATACAGAGTTATACCATGTTTAGAATGTCTATGCATTTAAAAAAATCAAATATTTTTCAGAAATGTGTTACTTATTTAGTAAGTAGAGGAGAATTTGTGAATCGTTTTTATACATTTGTGTCTTGCCTTTTTGTAAAAAAACTATAAATAAGTTAATTAAAATCATAAAAACGATTAAAACTTTAACCGGCGCATTTTTAACCCCAACAAATTAACTTTAATTAATATTTATAAGATTTTTCAAGTCAATTTTGAAACTATTTGTCTCGTTTCTCTCACACTTTCCATTAAAAAAATGTTGAAAAAAATTTATTCGGTACTTTGTTGGTATTAAAGAAAAAACAAACAAAAAAATTAACCAAATAAATGGAGTTTTTTCAAAAAGCGAAAAAATACTTTCTTCGTTAATTACAAATTGTCGAATAAATTTTCTTTCAAATGATTAAGGATTCAAAATGGCGGATCTAAAATGGTGGATTTAAAAAAAATTGTTCAGATTTCCTTGAAACTTGTTACTCCGGGGTTTTTGGGGTCGCTGATTGCGAATCTGACATCAGATTTTCAGAATTCAAAATGGCGGATCCAATATGGCGGACGAAATTTTTAAAAATTCCTCGCATTTACTTAAAAGTCGTTACTCGGGGGTTTTCGGGGTCGCTGATTACGAATATGATGTTAGTTTATAAAAATTCAATATGGCGGTTCCATAGGTCTTGAGTACCTTACCCTCTTGGTTTCAAATGATCTCCGAAGAGGAGATCTTTTTCTCTTCTTTGAAGTTTTAGTCTCTGGTATATCTCTTTTTAGCGTCCAACAATAGTCCGCTAACATATTCTTACTCCATTTCCCTTGATAGCGTTTCTCCATATCCTTTAAATCTTGGTGAAATCTCGCGCCTTGTTCCTCGCTGAAATCACCAAGATTTTCAGGAAATTCATCTAAATGTGAATCCAAAAAGTGAATTTTATAACTCATCAAACATCCCAGCTTTTTAAAATTCTCTACCATTTTTCTTACAATTTCTCTGTATCTGTGGCTTTTTTTCCTAAAAATTCAAAGCAAACTTTTTTAAAACTTGTCCAGGCTGCTTTTTCTTTAAGCTTTATCGTTTGTACAAATTTTTCGTCATATAACAACTTACGTATCTGAGGCCCATCAGACACGCCTTCTTTGATTTTAGCGTCAGACAGTTTCGGAAACTTCTCCGACAAATACTCAAAACATTTACCATTTTTGTCCAAGGCTTTTACAAATCGCCGATACTGAGGTATCCCTCCTCTGCATCGTAAACTTCTTTCCTACTTTTGCCATGAAGGCATAATTTTAACCTACACGGAGAAAAATGGTTGGATAATGTATACAATTTTTATTGGATAAAATAAAATTAGTTGCATTATCTATCAAAAATGTTTGATCAGCTAACTGGGATGGTCACTACAACATTTAAAAATTTTAATCTGTAGTTGGATATTCCATCACTATAACTGGTTATTTTATCCAACGTGTTGGATAAAGTATCCAATTCGCAAGTATACCGGATCAGTCACGTGACGCGCAAGCGCTGTGTACAAAAATTTAATGGATGTCACATGGTTCTTGTCGTGAAGGCGTCTTTGACATTGCGTTTTCGTGAATTGTTTTCGCTTTATATAAATGGACGAAAACACTGAAAGTTTTATTCGAATGGCTGTTCCAGTCAATGCCGAAGTTTTGATTGCTTCATTTAAATCATTATTCCCTGTAAAAAAAAAGTATTGGGAGGTACGGGACTCCGTATTGCAAGTGCCAACCTGCCAATGCGGTATTCGCGAATTACCGCATTGGGTGTCGTGGTGAATACGGAAATCAAGGGGTCCCAATGCGGTGCCAGTTTTAAGCTTTAAAAAAACGAAAATACGTGACAGGAGGAAATAATTAGTGTCAGTGGAGAAATATGCGAGTTAAAGGAATGAGAAAATAATAATAGTGAGTGTAAAAATGAAATTTTAAGAAAAAAAGGTAAGTTGAACTGTCAAATATGGGCCCAATGCGGCATAGGCTGATTTCAATGCGCCACAGCAAAAGCAACTTTGACTGGTTTGAATGGCGTGAAATAGGTAAACAAACATTTTCTAACACATTTGTCTCCGTACACAGACACTTTTCACTAAATCTGCCAACGTACAATTGGTAAGCATCTTCTAAATTACAATAATAGAAAATATTGTTTAGATTCATGCAGAAACGTGGTTATAAAATAAAAAATTGGAAAGTAATGTAATGCAAATCATATGTCAGCTGGGCCACTGTGTTCGCTCGATTCGCTCTGCTTGCTTCTGCCCTCTACTGGCGACTTGCACTATGTACCGATTGTGTACCGCATTGAAAGCAGCCTACGCCGCATTGGACTCATATTTGACAGTTCAACTTACCTTTTTTTCTTAAAATTTCATTTTTACACTCACTATTATTATTTTCTCATTCCTTTAACTCGCATATTTCTGAACTGACACTAATTATTTCCTCCTGTCACGTATTTTCGTTTTTTTTAAAGCTTAAAACTTGCACCGCATTGGGACCCCTTGATTTCCGTATTCACCACGACACCCAATGCGGTATTTCGCGAATACCGCATTGGCAGGTTGGCACTTGCAATACGGAATCCCGTACCTCCCAATACTTTTTTTTACAGGGTTTTTTAAATTTTATTTAAAAATAAGTTATGTTTGAAAAGCAGAATGTAAGTTTTTTGACTACTTGAAATTAACGTTGTAGTGATGAAAAGGTTTTTCATATTTACTTCTCAGATACTCAATATTATCAATATTATTAATATTATTAAATAAAAAGGTAGATATTCTACCAGTGAAAAATAGATGAAGTAACTAACTCGAAAGTAAATGTGCACTAGAGAATTGGACAAAGCAACCAAGAAAATGTTTCTCCTAGCTAATGGAATTGGTTAAAATATCAAACTTTTAAGGATCCAATAAAATTGGTCGCACTATCCAACTAATCGGATCGCGCTCCAGAGTCTATCAAAAATAGATATATTATCCAATACTTAGTATAATCTATCCAATTATTTTTCTCCTTGTAGAAACTTAGCCGAGAATTCGTTGCCCGCCTTCACCACGGGAGGTGTCCTAGTCGCAAAAATAGAAAAAAAGAAAATAAATAAACACAGAAACTAATTTTACATAGGTCAAAAACATTTTGAGATCGTAGTATCACAGAAATGCGATTAAATTTTAGTAAAACATTTACAGTAAACCATTTCTGGATTATGAAAAATTCAGATTTAAAATTAGCGACTAGAGGAAACACCTAAGTACCAAGAAAATCTGAGAACAATTTCATCGTAAGTCGTATTGGATACACCATTTTGAATTTTTAAAATCCAACATCAGATTCGTATTCGGCGACCTCGAAAATCCCCATGGAGTAGCAAGTTTCAATCGATTTCATTCGTTTAAATATATTTTGTCCGACATATTGGATCCGCCATATTGAATTTTTATAAACTAACATCATATTCGTAATCAGCGACCCCGAAAACCCCAGAGTAACGAGTTTCAAGAAAACCTACCACATGGCAGTCCTGGCAATCCAAATTTTTTTTGTGTGCCGGTGTTATTTAGTGGAAAGTGTGTTTTTTAATAAATAATTTAAAAAAGAAATGACTTCAATGTCCACAACATATATCGACAGTTGATTTTCTTTTTTCTTTTAATTCTGAATTTTAATAAATCGTTGAGTCAAAAAATAGCTATTTGGTGCACGAAATAGCCCCGATTGACGGTATGTCATTTCTAGTAGAAGAATATAATTACTAGTAATCACTAGTATAATAATTATACTTATTTATCATGAACGTATTTAATTCTAAAGTTAAATTCATATTTTTTAAATTAATAGGTAAACAAAGTCAACTGCTATAAAAGGTTGAAGCACTTTCATCACACACGGAAAGACATTTTATTTCAAAATTTAATGAAAATGAGAATACATTTTAACAGTTGTACTCGCCCGTGATGATAAAAGGCTACAGAATCAATAATGGGATTTTAAAAATCTTTGTAATCTTGGTGATCGTTATTAGTTATTACCGAATTCACTGTAAGGCCAAAGAGATAGAAACGAACTTTGATAAAGATTTCTTCTTATTTAGTTTTCAGGAAGAAATTTAGTCCTTTCATTGTTAAGAAAAATTTAATTAACTAAGAAAGAGTTCATACATTCTTTATAATTCCTTTTTCAACGATTAAACTAAATTTAAAATAGTTAGAATGAATTATATTAAAAACTTTTGTCACAAATTTAAGTCTTTTATAAATTCATTCAAAATAATATTTCCAATAAAGTTTTTTTCCTTGCAGTTAGAAATTATAAATCTATTTTTTGTATCCCATTATATATTACTTGACGATTCTTTAGTAATCTGAGGCGAATAATTTTTCTAAAAAATATTAAAATTTAAGCAGTCCAGATGATTAAAAAGAAGTAAATATTTATTTTATGTTGCCAATTTTCATGTTGTAGAAGACTTCGAAGAACACTGTCCTCCATTGAGATACGAAGAGCAGCACGAAAACCATGGCGTAGATTGTCGGCTCCTGTTCATGTTACTCATTCTCAAAGATCAGTTCGAGGCGAAGATATGGTGGTTATTCTCGACTGAATAATTAATTATAATTAAATAGAAAATAGTAAGGGGAATGTGAGAATACGTCAAAGTAATAGTGAATAAATGAAGAATTTTAAAAAGCATAAGGATAATATTATGCAGGAGAATAATAAAACTATTTGTTATCTAATATCACTATTAGATAACAAATAGTTTTATTATTTGAAGTGTATTCTGGCGATGAATATAAGAAAATTTTGAGAAATCGTAAACTTTTTCTGAATATTTCTTTAGCTGTTAACGAATGAATAAGATAAAGACTCTTTTGAAATTTCATGTTAATCCAACTTAATGAATTGAAGCATTCATCTTAAATTATAATTTTCTATTGGTATTAATTATTCTTGTTAATAATAATTATTAGAAAATGAATGTACATATACATAATTGCATACATACTTCTCCAAAACAATTTAATTCATAAACGCATAGCCCAAGTAACAACACAAAAACGCGTCCTTTCGAAGTTAAGTCAATTCTTAAAATTGATTGAAAACTTTTAAGTGTCAATGACTTATGCGAAAGTCACCATTCGTTTTACAGAACGAAAGGAATGAGTGTATGAAATATATGAAAAGAATGTTGAACGAATGAAGGTAATATGTGTGAAAGTAAAAAAATTATCGTGAATGTAATAAAAGAGTGTTTGCAAGAGATTGTAAGGGTCAGAAAGAGTGCTCACTGTGAATATTTTTATTAAATTTTCAAGTATGATGACTTCCGTCTAAATAATTATTAAATAAATATAAACGTGAATAAGAAAATTTGCTCTTTTTTAATGTCAATCATTTACCTTTTCAAGATGTATTACTATTATACGTTTTTATATTGCAATAATACTTATGGATGATTCTCCATAATGTGGTAACTTTTTTTAAAATTTCCTATGTAACGGGGGGTCCTGAACCCATTTTAAATGAAGATAAAAAGCACCTCCAATTTTCTTGCTGGGTTTGATCCTGTGACAATTCTGAATGATTTTGCTACAAAATTAAATATAATCCCCTTAGCCGTTTTTGAAAAAATTCTATTTTATTAAAACTAAATCTCATTTGCTATTATTTTATATTAATTAATGATCAAAAAATAAAAATCTCAAATTCTATTCTGATGACTAAATTCTAATAAAAAACACTAAAATTAACCCTGTTTTAAATTTAAGTAAAATTAATGACAATAATTATTTCAAAACATTAATTTTGAATTTTGAAAATTTTGAAAATATAGCATAATGTTCGTTCACATTCATAACTTTTACTTTATTATAGCTACACTGAAAAAAGTTATATATGATTCAAGTAATTATAATTATTTGAAAAATAATATCTTATTTAAAAAGCTTTTATTTCGATCTAATAAGAATTTATTTCCTTTAAATAATTTTAATTAGTTTAATCAAATAAATCTTAATTGGATTAATTAAATAATTACTCGACTCTAATAAATGAATTTATTTAACACAAATAATGAGTTATTTAGTATAGTATAGTATAGTATAGTATAGTTTATTTGTAATAAAGTGTTACACTGTTTACAAGTAGAACGAAATAAATACAGTATTAACGAGGGAAGAAATAAAATTAAATATATAAATATATGAATGGAACACACATCATACAAAAAAAAAATTAATTTACAGATAGGTTACACTCCTTATTCATTAACAATAAAAGATCTCAACATTCTCAACATTTGAGGTAAAATAATACAAATCATTTATCTTCTGCAGATTAAGAACACTCAACAAATTAATTACATTCTCAACATCTGACAATTCGTTACGGATATAGGAAGACAGATATTTTACCCGCAGCGGCTCGTAGATTGGGCAACGCAATAAGAAATGCTGGACATCTTCGCATTCCCCAAAATTGCACAGAGAGCAAACAACGTCTGCACTCCATACATATAAATTACCCTTATATGATAGTTTTATTCTCTTTGGGTTTACCAATCTTAATTGGCTTATTATTTTAATTTTCCCCAAAGGGTAGTTAAATTTTAAGTAATTTTCCGTTGAGTTCAGTTGGCTTAAAAAACGATAATTAGGGTTATAATTAGAGTTCAAAATCCTATCAATTGACAAACAAATTTCATTGTTAGACCATTTTTTAAGAATATTTTGCTTTTCCCTTTTTATAAGGTTTACATCCCGGAATTGTAGATCCCACAAATGTCCAACACCAATTGAGTCCAGCAACGTTCTTAACCGCGCCGCCCAATGAGAACCAACCGGAAGCGAAGCTTTTGAACAATCCATTTCACACATTCTAACAAAGCAACGTTTTGGCAGCCTTTCCTCCGACATCTCAAGCAACTTTATCCACCAGTTTACAATGCGCTTAAACAATACTACATTAGGAAATGGAATGCCAGTTTCTAAACGTATAAAGTGATCAGGGGTATTCCGTGGCAAGCACAAAATACCCTTAAAAAAACGGGTCTGCACACAGTCTAAACTTTTTAAATAAGATAGAGACCACACTTCACCTGCATACAAGGCTGTAGCATTCACCACGCTACTCAAAAGCGTTATCAAAGTGTGCCAGGACCTATTTTTACTCTTATATAAGATATCACGGACCCTAGATGTAGCTGCAAGTCCTTTTGTCACAAACGTATCACTCGCCAGCTTGAATTTTCCGGAAACAGTAAAAGGAACTCCCAAATAAATACAAGATTTTACATATTCTATTTCCTCTTTACCCCACATTAACGGTTTTAATTTTTTAAATCTTCCGGATTTCTTACAAGGAACAATCTTGGTTTTTGAGACGTTTAGGGTCAAACTATTTAGATCGCAATATTCTTTTAAGATCTTGAGCTTAAATTGCATGTCATGCCAATTACGGACTAATAAAACTATATCGTCAGCAAATAAAAGCATAATAACATCTTTACGTGAATCAAGCTTTAAACCCTGGGCCCTCTTTTCCTCAAAAAAGAATACTATATCGGCAAGAAATAAAATAAATAACAGGGGACTAAGCGAGTCCCCCTGTAATACCCCTTCCGTGACATCTATAGCATCAGATTTGCGCTGACCAATTTTCACTCTAAAATTTGCTTTATCATACAAGCTTTTCAAGATTCTTAAAATTTTTCCTGAAATACCCATTTGAAACAATTTTAACCATAACTTCCCATGTTGAACTGAATCAAAAGCCCTTTTAAAATCTATAAATGTTATAAATATATAATCCTTGTTTGTTTCCAAATTTACATTAATCAAGGTAGAAAGAGTGAACAATTGGTCAGCACAACTCCTCTTAGCTCGAAAGCCCCCCTGCTCCTCAGGAATAAGAAGGCAGGACTCCGCCCATCTCCCAATTCTTTCTGCGAGGAGAGAGGTAAAGACCTTTGTAATAGTATTGAGCAATGCTATACCTCTATAGTTAAGTGGATCCGTGTGCTCTCCCTTCTTATAAAGCATAGACATATTAGCCTGTGCAAAAGAGGGGGGTACATTTTCACTCTCCAAAATCCTATTAAACATATTAAGCAAATAATGATTCCATTCAGGCGATAAATTTTTAACAAACTCATTGGCTATTTTGTCTGGACCTGGTGATTTTCCATTACTGCATTTAGATAAAATTTTTTCCATTTCACTCAATGTAAATTCACAATCAAGAAGAGGATGAGTAACAGACACGAAGGTTCTGTCACTCAACACTCTTGCGGGATAAACACCACTATAAAATTCAACCCATGCACCCAAGTCTATATCGTTTATTTGATATTGTTTCTTTTCAAATGATTTAACAATACTCCAGAATTCTTTACTACTACTTAAATTACTCAATTTCATTTGAATTATATTGTTATATTCGACCTTAGCTCGCACAATGGTTTGCTTATATTCATCTCGGGATGCTATATATCTTTGCAACAATAACAAATTCTGCCTATCGTTTTTAAATTTTTTATAATTACTGTTTACTTTGCTTCTAGCCAATCTACATACTTCATTGAACCAGGGTTTTCTACTTCCCACATAATTAAAAGATTCTGGCATTTTTTTTACAATTAACATTCCTGATTTTCTAGCACTGTCCAAAATTGCTATTTTCAAATTATCGAAGAGAAGGTCTGGTCTTTCGCTATTGAAATACAATAGTGTAGAGTTCGTCAATCCGTGCAAATATTCAGCGATCTTTGTTTCCTCCCATTTAACAATTTCCATGGGGTAATATTTAACAGGTTTTCTCGTTTCGGGGTAAGTTACAACATTAAGTTCCACACATACAGCAAAGTGATCAGAACCATCCGATATATTTACAACACTCAAATCACAAAATAATTGAATCATTCCTATATCCATCCATACTAAATCTATTACACTACAGCCTATTTTCGATACAAATGTGTAATTAGCAGTTCTGTCTGAGGGCGAGCGACCATTACATAGAATAAATCCCAACGCTTCCATGGCAAGGGTGAGCCGCCTACCTCGTTTTGTTATTTTACTGTCCTGTGAATTTCTCAACTCACTCAACTCCGTATTTTCAAAGATTTCCCCATCAAAACTATTCAAGCAGCCCAATCTCGCGTTAAAATCACCCGCAATAATTGTGTCCGCATTTTGAAATTTTGAATGTTCTAAATTAGTAAGAAACTCATCTAGTGATTCGACACAATAATCATCGTCTGCATTCGGGGACCAGTATATGTTGCCAACATTATAAAATTTATTATTAAAGATTAATGAAACAAAAATCCATAAATTAGTTTTGTCAATCAAAGTAACTTGAGTAAAAAGACCCTGTCTAATTAACGTAATTAAACCCCCGCTCGCACGGCCCCTACTTTTTTCCTTAAGGGCAGGACTTATAAAAGACAAAAATTCATTTAGAGGTTTGGGTAAACTGACCTTTTCTGAAGTACACCAAGTCTCAGCTAAACAAATTATATCGTAGCCATTTAATCTGTTCAACTGCAAATCGTCTAAGTCAAAAATATTTTTCATACCACTGATATTCCAAAATAATATATTTAACTTTCTTGATTTACAAAAATAAACAGAAGCCTCTTGGTCCTCAAACCCGGAAACATCTTCACTCTTCTTATCCCCCTCTACCAGTCACTTTACAAGAGTTGACTGCTCAGTGATTTTTCCATCTTCACCGTTGTTCATTTTCGCCGTCGAAGTATCCTTCGGAGGTATATCTCTTAATAAAAATTCATCCATCGGTTTTTCCTCGTTCTTCTTTGTCTTCTTCCTTTTTTTAGGGTTCCGTACACCTACGGTGTATCGGCGGAACCCTATTGGTGAGACTCTGTTGCCCGTAGCCAAATCGTGTCCCCCCCCTAGCGGCTAAACTATTTGACCTAAAGAGCTCAAATTTGGTCCAGATATGTATTTTAACTCGTAGATTACAGGAAAAATATAGCGAATGTGATTGGACGTGATGGGCATAGCGTTGTTAAGGAAATAACAAGATTTTTGGCCAAAAATGCTTAAAAAGTGACCATTCCCCCCCCCCTTAACTTCTAAACTATTCGACATGGAGAGCTGAAATTTTGCATGCTGGTGTATTTTTACTCGAATATTACAGGAAAAATATAGAGAACTTGATATGTAATGATGGCCATAGCGTTGTCAAGGAAAAACTAAAAAATTTAAAAAAAAAAAATTTTTTTTCCTAACTTTTACATTATTTGACCTAATGAGCTGAAAATTGGTATCCTAGTGTATTATTATAGTCTGACGACAAAAAATTTATTTAAGAAACTTTTTGAAAAAAAAGCAAAAAAAATTTTT